AAGGGTCTAGGCCCGAAACGTCCGCCTTCCTGCTCCTCTGATGCTGCTTGGCCTGCTGTGTTCATCCAGCTCTACACCTTGTTATCTTATATCTTGTGGCTAACGGGACATTAAGATAGGTGGGGGTACGGGGGGAGGGGGTGTTTAGGGCATTAAGCCTGATGATCATAACAGATGGCTCCTGCTACTTGTTTCTATGACTAATTCCTGGGAGCTGTAATGCCCTGAGGAGACTGTATTCTCTAGAGTTTATAAGAATGAGGAGTGATCTAATTGATACGTAGAAAATTCTTAAAAGGTGACTTGAAACCTTAACTCTGTTTCACTTTCCACAGATGCTGCCAGATCTGTTGAGTTTCTCCAACACTTTCGGGTTTTATTGCAAAGAACTAGAGGTGTTCGAAGCTATATTCTAGTTTCTTTTTAAACAATCTTCATTACAAATAATCAACATGATATTTTTGAAAGTTCAATACTTTGTGACTACAGAATGAAAAAAAAATCACTAGGGCGGATTACTGAATTTTACAAAGGGGCATTTTGATGCATGACCTTGTGACCTTATAGAGACCCGTAATTTCTGCGATCAGACGTCTATTTGTTCCAGATATTAATGACTTTACGAGGTGATAAATGAGTTTCGTTTAACATGCCGAATTTTACTTACCTTTAAGTTTAACGTATCTACGCAGTCCGGGCTTGAGATAGCGGAAGTGAGGCGAGGGGGGCCGGAATGATTGCCACCGTTTCTTGTGAACCAGGAACAATTCAAGTATTTTCTCCACTCACTCAACAAATTCGTTCCACTCGCTGCATTCTATTACCACTTCCACAATCCTGCCTCCTCTCATCCTCAGACTCGAGCTTTCCTGTCCGGCTCCGAATTGAAAACCGGAAAAATTAAATTTAGGATTTCTGTACTGCCCACATTCTCCATCACCACCCCCCCGCTCCAGTTCGTTCTGATTTCTGCTTAGTATTTATCGCGGCCATGAAGTCTAAAGTAGAGTCGAGGACTAAAGACATCACGTTTGTGTTAGATCACCTTTAGTGTACATTCACATTTCAACTAAAATGTCCTGGCTTTAAGAGAGGGCGGGAACGGTGTGCAAATCCAAAGCAGCACTTCATTAGTTTGCTGGAGTCCCCACCGACACTTGGCCAGACAGTGAAGAGGCATCTAGCAGCCATCGGCTTCACCCTTAGGAATCGAGAGGCCGTCAGTCTGGATAGGGTCGCTCCACGTCAATCGGCGGAGCTGGGTCAGGGAGGTTTCCCGATCAGCTCAAACAGTACAAAGGCGTCTTGTGACCAGTAGCCCTCACATTCTCCTACTGGATTACACAGAGCGGGGATTCCTCTTCCTTGTCTTAAAGTCATTGGGCTGCGATTTTGGAGCCGCTCATGTTCCTATCATAAGCCTCAGTCGACTTGAATGCTGGTTTGATAAGAATTGCCTGCAGTAGCTCGGCTCAGTGTTAACAACAAATTGCTAGAAAAGCGCAGCAGGTCTGGCAGCATCTGTGGACAGAAATCAGAGTTAACGTTTCGGGTCAGGTGACTCTTCCTCAGACCTGCTGAGCTTTTCCAGCAATTTCTGTTTTTGTTTCTGATTTCCAGCATCCGCAGTTCTTTCTGCTCAGTATTGTTCTCTCCCACGCACATATACGCTAGACAAGGACCACTAACATGTGAGCATTTTAGAATCATAGAATCCCTACAGTGCGGAAACAGGCCTTTCGGCTCAACAAATCCACACCGACCTATCCCCCATAACCCACCTAATCTACACGTCCCTAAACATTACGAGTAATTTAGCATGACCAATCAACCTAGCCTGCACATCTTTGGACTTTGGGAGGAAACCCACGCAGACAGTTGCCCGGCGTTGGAAGCGAACCCGGGTCCCTGGCGCTGTGAGGCAGCCGGGCTAACCACTTAGTACAGAATGGCTACACTTTTGAGAAATCCTGTGAGAGAGACTGAATCTTTGAGTCTGAGTGGCCTGGACTGAAAACTGAACCTTCTGTAAATGAAGTTGGGTTTCCTCACTGGAGTTAACTAATAAAATGTTCATCATTGGTGCAAAGCAAATTGGCATAAAATTTGCACAAGACAGGAACAAAAGTAGACAATAGCCTGAGAAGTCGGCTTCGCCATTCTATTTGATATGTATGGTTTGGGGCTTCAACTTCAATTTCCCACCTGCTCCCCATATCCCTTTATTCCCTGAGAGACCAAGTCTGTCTGCCTCTGCTCTAAGTACATTCAACCTATCCTTATGCTGAGACTGTATACAGAAGATCTAGGTTCCTTAACAAATGGAAACAACGCCCTGAGCCCTTACATGGTCTTGTATGTTTCAATAAGATCATCTGTAGTCTTCAAAACTCTATGAATCAGTTGAGGTCTGGAATGCACTGCCTCAGTGTGTAGTAGAGGCAGGTTCAGTGAATGAATTCAAAAAGAAAGTTGCACAATTATTTGACAGGGAACATTGTGCAGGTTTCGGGGGAGAAGTCTGGAGAATGGCATTAAATGAAATGCTTGTTTTGATAGGCTATGCAGACATGATGGGCTGAATGGCTAGAATATGCACTAGAATAAATTTGTGATACTGT